CATGGACGCTAAGACTCCTAAGAAGACTGTCGCTTGGACAGACGTTCCAGCAGACGAGAGCGATCTATTCCTCTACGAAGGCATCCTTCAGGGCATGGTCTTCTACGTCGATGTCACACGGAACGGTAGGGAGCAGAACTTCTTGTTCCGCGGTCTGCTCGAGGATCTGGGCGCAAAGGTAGTACAAGACATATCGCATGCGTCTCTTAGCCACGTCCTCTTCAAGGATGGAAGCATGTCCACACTGGAGAAGTGCCTTGAAAGCAAGGGAGCCATCAAGTGTGTCAACGTGGGGTGGGTGTTGGATAGTGAGTCAAACAAGAAGCGTATGGACGAAGACCATTACCTGGTCGACCTATCCGTTGCGAAGCCAGCAACTCCTCTGCCTACTACTACGGCGAAGCCATTCACACCTTTCAAGACTCCTTCCAAGTACGCGCTGCCTCCTTCATCCCAGTGCAAGATGCCTAGCACTCCGACAAGTTCAGAGTTCGATCGCTCTTTCAATGACGACAAGGAAAACTGCGAAGTTGGCATGTTCTTCGACGACAAGAGCCCGCTTGCACCTCGCACACTTCCCGTCAAGAAGTCGTCTTTCTTGTTCAGCAGATCAGCCATCAAGACCCCATCAAAGTCCATCTTCCTTGGGGCGACGCCATCGAAAGCGACCTTGTCGGCTATGAAGCCTGCGCCTCAGGCCTTCACCACTGTCAAGAAGCGCCCCGCAGAGTCTTCCTTCTTCAACAGCTCCCTCGGTCCACCCAAGAAGCTGCGCCTCTTGTAGTCATGTCATCAATTCTGCTGGCATTCAAAATGCTTGTTTTGTTTACGGAGTTTGGGATATCATGCAGGCATTGGGTAGGCGTGGATGGATCAAGGTGTTTGGTATCCGTTTCGCAAAGTTTCGGTCGTGCTGTCGTCATCCCTGTCATCCCTTCATTGCGGCTTGAGGGTTTCCATTGAGTGCTGCCTCCCTTAAAGGGTTGGCCTTCGTGGGAATCCAACATAGCCAGATGAAGGGCGCACATATGGCGTCTTTGCATACCTTGGCTCTTGCTTGTTCATTGTCTTTCTCTTGTGCGGTTACATAGAGTCTTGCATGTTATGGATGGACGATGCTGTACGAAACACAGTTGAGCATTCTTGGCGTTCCTGGACACACGGGCACTCCAATGGAGACGACCACGATTAGGGTCACCTGCTTTTGTCTTATATTATTGTCTCGTTTCGATACGAATGACAGCACGAATGCTCCATGCTTTTACTCAATGGGTTGGGCTTGCGTAGGACCCACTGTCAACTGGCGGTCTTGCGAGTGACTAGTGTAATTCATTTATTGTACTAGCATTACTTCTCATTCGAGAGCGCTGGTCGTACGGGTATGAATGCAGTCCAATATCGTGCAGACGCAAACGCATCGAAAGTATCATCCCTGCAATATGTGCAGGAAATGCATACTTCATCCTTGATGATACCCAGCTCTTGCTCATGCTCTTATCCTAACGTATACTTGCACACATCACTCATTGAGCTACTAATTAGAGATCATTCGGGGTACAGAAGCACCTCTAGCCACATTTGCTACTCGGGTCAAACAAACCCCCAAAAACAGGCTATCGCGACGCCTAAAGTATATCAAACCCGTCTAAACCCAACAACAACGTAAAGGCTATAACACTAAGAAGCACTGTTTGGATTAAGCACCTTCTTCTATCACCAGATGCTCTTCCTAGTCGTCACCCAAGATAATCCTTCTTCTCCTCCAGCCACTCAACGGTCTGACGCTCTCCCTCTCCACCTCTCTCCCGCCAACCCTATGATAGCTTCTCCACTTCTCCTGCTCGGTCTCCTTCTCCTTCCCCTCGAAAGGAGAGTCGCCCCAGAAGCTATCTCGTCGTGTACGGGTCCTTTCCCGTGAGGTAGACCGCTCACGAGACTCCCAACGCTCATCCACCCACCAATTCTCACTACGATGGAAAGGATCGCATGAGGGTGAGAGAAGCGAGAAAGTATGGTGATGGTGCGACGAGTGTGGACGGCTGAACTTAGCGTTGATGCTGAGGCGGAAAGCTTGGTCGTCTGGCTCGGAAGAAGCGGCGCGGTCTGAGGAGTATTCGTACGTACGTCGTGTGTCGTAGCTACGGCGTCTGTTCTCGTCTTCCGCATCGTTTTGGGGGCGCCGAGTGTCAGTCCAGACGTTGAAGCGCTCGAGTTGAGAGGGCTGATCCCGTACTGTTAGGGAGCGGGATGACCTGACTGGCTTATGGTTGGACGAGTAGGGGTAGTCGTCATGGCCATCTTCGTCATCGAGATCTGAGAGTGTGATGCTCCGACGGTGTTTGCTGGAGTCGTGATGAACGAGAGGAAGTGAGTAGTAAGGTTCGTACTCTGGAGTGCGCTCGCGGGTGCGAGTACGCGTTAGGTGCAGGTAAGACATGGTCGGCTGCCTGGTGCGGCTGATTAGTCAGACCTTGAGATGATGACTGTGATATGGTAGGTATAGAATGATTGTAATGACAATGCTCAGGAGAAAGTTATGCGTTTTGCAGTGTCAATGGATTGCAAGCACTTGTATTCGTACAGGTGAGGACCGGAGAAGCAAGCCCACTGTCCTCCAGAACCCTCTTATATTATCCGACGAAATGTTTCAACTGCCTAGACGACTTAGAAATCACCTTGTTTGGCTAGCATGAGCTCCATGAATTTCAACGTGCACCGCCTCTTTTTCTGCGGCTCGATTGTGGCTTGTGCAGACCGCTCCAGGATTTGATTGGCTGCGCCCACTGTCGGCGTGCTCCGCGTGAACGATTATTTACCGATGAGTTCCTGACCGCCAGAACATTGAGGCTTGAATGGAGTCTTCAGAGTTGCCTAAGTATATGATACTAGGGGCCCCTGCAGTGTGTATCGTGGAAGGGTCATGGCAGCTGAATGTGCGGTCGCCACTGCGAGGCTGTGACAATGTGGAGGTGTGGGGGCCGAAAACACGACGGTGAACGTTGGGTTTGTGTAATCAAGGTGCGAAAACGTAGCGGGTAATCTCCGATGTTGAGCTGGATGCCTACAGCAAAACTCCATGTTGTCCCGATGTCTATGCTGATGTCTCTGGTTATTCGCTCTCGTGGGTACCTCGCCGGTTGGAGCTTACGACGCTCAAAGGGTCATGCGCTTTGGATGAATCATTGTTTGGGTCAGGGGCTCCTTTTTCAGCCTTCTCGTTAGTAAGGTTTGGTCAAGAACAGCGAGTATTGGTATGACGATGTCGCAATTGAGAGATGGGCAGTGAAGAGCATGACCAAGATCATGATCCATGTAGGCGATGTCCTTCGTCGCAGTGGCAGTGACTCATCGGTTGCGCACTTGCACGTCGTAGTCATTCGGATATTGATGTCTCCAATCCAGGAGGCCTGCAATAAAGACTGACCAGGCGGTTGACGCACACTGATTGAAGAGCATGGAGAACCTTCCCCCATGTGACCCTGACGACTAAGTGTGCTGCCTGGGAGGTGCCATTGTTGGCCAGCTACACAGATAACGTCACCCAGAACCTTCACCCTGTTTCTCACTGATCTTCGCTGCCTTTTCGTTCGGCATATCGCCTCGTCGACTGCCTACGCAACTCTTGTACCTTTCTCTCTCCAGCTATTCCTGTTGCTTCTCTTAGCGCTCCTCACGAAATAGCCTTGTCTGCAGGTTCAGATTTTAGCGTAGTAGTTAAATTAATTAGATTGATTGAATGTAGACAGTACCGTGGCTCATAAACGTCAGATTAGAAGCCAGACGGTTGGCCTTACATTGGTATACAAGATAAAAGCCGAACAGGTCTACAGACTACATAACGATAGAAACTTGCAAAGCAGGTTACTTAGCGTTAATGTAGGCTCTAGGGTGTTAGACTTTCATTAGATTAGTGAAGGCGTAAACGTACTGACAGCACGATCGGGACTGGGCTGTTAGTTGCTACGTCTGCGTGTGTAAAGAGACGGAGGCAGCGCTTGAGTATGCATGCGCTATACCAGCCTGGTTACAGGATCACACAGGGCACGAGATACGAAATCAATCGTGATTCATGGGTCGCAATCAACAATTAGAGGTCTGTCGTGGAGGTATACAATACGGTACCTAGGTATGTTCGAGAATGTGTGGGTGTGAGCCATTGCGTATGCTTCTAGAGCGTAGTGTATCCGAGCGTGCTGGAAAAAGAATGGACGTCTTCGCGTTCCCTTGAATTCGATCCTTCTCGTTGGTGGTATAATTGCATCTAGACGCTTGTGCATTGGAGAGGCGGAGGGACTCAGATGCCAGTCAGCTGCAACGCGTTCTTTGTACCGCCACTGCCGCGATAGTGCATGCACAACACCTGGAAGCGTCGCCATATAAGGCAGGTATGGGTCCTAGTGCTGATGTGAATCTTGGAGGATCACTGAACCGTCGCTGTCGTTGGTCGTAAAGTTGCAGCGTGGTGCATGAGACTTCGGAGATTGTGACAACGCCCGGCAGCGCTTGGCGTGCTCGTCGACGTTCGGCTAGCCACGATGAGGCTTGCCCTGCGGCACAGCGCGCGAACTTACTCACTTCGAGAACATGGCGGGACGCAAGGGGCCTGAGTGTCTGAGGGCGCTGGAGGCTCTCGCTGTCTCCTTACCAATGCCAGATTGACGGCATGAGGGAGCGCCGTACCGACATGTACCTTCCGCCAGAGCTCTTGACGCTATTATTTCTAGCGAACGCCGCAGCAGCTGTCCCTCGTGCGCAACCAACATCGTACCAACTTGAGGGCATACACGCTAATTGCAAACAGAGACCTCTTTCTTACCCAACGTCACCGAGATTGCTCCCACCCAACAGTCGACCGTATCGATCGCGGCGCAGATAACAGAACCGTCCGATGCCACTGCTACCGAGAGTTCTGTAGATCGGGTCGACGTGAAGGTCGAAGTGTGTACTCTCGACGCCAGCAGCTGTTGTTCTATCGATCCGGGTAGTTGTGGTGGCTTGCAATGGATTGTTCTTCCGTCTGCCACAGGTTGGGGACTGACGGGTCCAGCTACCGATCGCCTCGTGACACTTACTCCGACCGCCACGACTGTCACGACGACTCGGCCGACCATCCTCAACCTCGAGACCAACGTCCTCGTATGGGGGACCGAACAAGAAAGCGAGGGCAGTGCTGGACAGCCGGGCCTCATCATAGGACCGAGCACAGTCAGGGCTTCGAACACGATGGGAGAAGAACCCGGTGCTACAGGATCGGCGCAACAGCAGATAGAGCAGAACAGTCTCCTACTGCAGATAGTCTCTCAGATCGGGCGCGCACCATCGAATGTGCAGCCAGCTCAACCCGCATCTCCTGCGACAGAAAACCCTGGTCAAACTGTAGCGCCCATCAATAACCATAATGGAGGTGATAGTGCGCTTGCCCAGCCAGCAACCACTCCCGACTCTGGCATGGCGAGCAATACGGACATGATATCTCCACCACAAACAGCGCCAGCAGTAGCCATTGGCGAATTTGTATATGGAACACAGACGTTAACGCTTACGGCTGGTCTTAGCACCAACATCGGGAGCAACTTCTTCCCTACCTTTGTAGGGTTAACGACTGACGCCGAAGGTAACACTTTGGTCTCGGTCTTTTCGGACGGAACTGCTGTCATTGCCACTGTGCGTGTTGCGCCTACTACAATGGTTGTACCAAGATCTGGCTTCGAAGCAAGTACCACTGATGCTGCAAATCCTGGTGAGCAAACTGGCGGTTTGGCTACTACCTCCAGCAAGGAGGCTGGAGCAGGGAGGAGGCGTAAACTGGAGTGGTGGATGGGTGCCGTTTTGGGCGCACTTAGCTTCGGAGCGATGTTATAGTAACAGGTGACATGAGCATTCGATTCATGCCGCCTTAACATAATGATGTTCCAATGAACAATAAGTCGCGATCATGCGCGCAATCACCTGTCAAACTGCACACTCATAGATTCCCGAGCCTCCACCTTAGACAAGCAAGAAGCTAAACAGGTCTGCAGCCTACATGAAGATCATGATGTATAAAGTAGGTAACCTTACGTTAACGTAGGCTCTAAGGTGTTTAGTTTTTTCCTTAGATAAGGTGCCTCTGCCGTGCCCTACTACTTGTTCCACCGAAGCCGGCTCCGCTCTCTGTTGTCTCTTGCTCGCGCTCCTGGCTGAATCCAGCATGTGAGAACCAAGAATCGAGGCTGGAGAAAAGGTGATAAATTCAATTGTGTGTGGAGGCGGGAAGGACGGTAGTTCATGTCAGATACTGGTTGTTTTCAATGCGTCTTTCGATAGTAATATTGTCTATGCACTTGCTGTCAGTAGATACGGATAACTAACGAATCTTGGTTGTGTTCATTGCTTGAACCCATGGTTTCCAGAAATCCTCAATACCGCGCTCGTAATTCCAACCAGTCCAGTTGTAGTTTGTCATACCCCACGTATCTGGGAAACCCTGAACACCCGATCTGATTCTGTACGAACCAGCGATAGACCACATCATCCAGCTGATGTCGTTATCGATGGTGTACTCCTTCAAGCAGTTTTGTAGTGTGTTGTTGAAGAGTGTCTCGTCTTGCGCACTACCGAACTCGCTCAGGATGACTGGTGTCTCGCGCACAGCCTTCGGGCAGTCACCCGTAATGTTGCAGGCGGCTGGTGCATCAATGCCCAGAGCATTGAAGCCGTTGCGGTAGAAGTTTGCCTTGACGATGTCGCAGGTGCCCGTGTCGATGTCCTCACTCATGCTGTAGAGATGGAGTTCCCAGACAAGCTTATCAGCCCAGGGGTGATCGTCGAGATTGAAGTACACTGGCTCCCTCCTCGCGGCGTCGCGAATCGCGGTGCACTTGTAGCATGGAGCGGTGAGAATGTTCTTGCCGCTAGTGAGTGCTGACAGATCTTGCCCGTACTGCATACCTCCCCAGAGGATAAGAAGATCAGGGTTGGCCTCGTGAATTGCGTCAGCGCCAGCGGTCATATTGCCGACGAGGGTGTCCCAGTTGTAATAGAGATCCGTGACGTTCCAAGATTCGCGCAGCTCGTTGCGAAGAGACATACTAACTACGTTTGGGTGATCCTTTGCCCAATTGGCAACATAGGAAAGACCGCGGCGCCAGTGCGTTGCGTTGAACTCAAGGTCGTCGAACCATGCGGTACCGTCGATGTGTGAGCAGCACCACTGCGCTTTGCCTGTGTGCACATCTGGGCTGATGAAAATGCCTTTGGTAGCAGCGATGCGTGCGATGTCGCTCCAGATCTCGAATCGAGTGGTCTGAGCTGTCCAACCAGGGTTCTTCTCGATGATCTCGTTGGTTACTTTGGTGCCGTTCACATAGCCCAGGGCGTTGATGAGGCCAACCTCGAGTGGCACGTCAACGCCGTTTCGATCGTAGACTTGGTCAATCATCTCAATGGCGTAGCCCATGCGGATGTAGTTGAAGCCAACACCCGCGATGTCATCAAGAATCTCTTCCGCTGACGCCCACTCAAGTCCTTCAGGAACCATAGTCTCGCCTACAGAGGATCTCAGTTTCTTGCAGTGGGGCATGAGTCTGAACTTGATACATACCACTCATTGGCCAGTTAACACCAGCCCAAGTCGTCTTCTCGCCATTGCTATCAACAATATCTCGGCCTCTGGTACTGTACGGACCGTTGAAAGATGGAGACGTGCTGTTCGTTGCCTGTCGACGCGCATTGTACCGGAAAGCAGTGTGGCTCGAAACTTCGGGCAAGTATCCTGCCGAAACGACAGCGCCAGCAAATGCTGTGCCAAGTAAAACGCGCAGTCCCAGCATGATCAGTGAATTGAGTGATGCCTTGCGGGGTGTAGCATAGACACTGGGTACATTCGGACCTTTATACTTCTCGGTACAGCCATCGTGAACAGCTAACTGGGAAGAGCCTCAATGCCCGTCGGTAGGCTTGCTCAATGTAAGCCAAAATCCGATGATCATCGTCACTTCTCGCCGGGTTGTCGGATGAAAGCTGTCCGAGTAAGGGTACATCCTCCGCATTTGCGGGGAAACATACGAGAAATTACCTAGGTAGTACTTGGCAGACTGACGCTCTCACCACGGAGATTCCGCCGGCGCAGAGCCCAGCGGAAGTGTTACGCTTTTCGAACTAACAGGTTTAGCTCGGCTTTTGGCCTTAGGCACTCAAGACTCAGTTTAGGCGTTGCTGTGAGCCATGAAGGGTGCCTTTCTTCGGCTATACCTAGGTACCTAGGGAGTGGCTTATCTTATCGACACGTGCAGCGTGTTCCTAGCGCGTTTCTGAGTCCCTTCACGCCACACGATTTGAGCCCGCCTTCAATGAGACGTCATCTTTCGCACAAACCGTCATGGACGCATTGTTGGAAGGGCTTAACGACGCGCAGAAGAGCGCGGTGACAAGTCCCGCCAATGTTGTTCAAGTGCTCGCGCCGCCGGGGTCAGGCAAGACCAAAACACTTACAGCACGCGTCGCGTACCACATCAATCACGAGCGACTACAACCATGGAACATCATCGTATGCACGTTCACCATCAAGGCCGCACGGGAGATGAAGGAGAGAATCAAGGGTTTTGTTGGAGAGAAACTTGAGGCGAAACTGATTCTGGGTACCTTCCATTCGGTCGCGCGTCGCTTCCTGTCTCGGTACGGTCAAGAGATTGGGATTGATAAGAACTTTGGCATCGCGGATACTAGCGACAGCACAGCAATATTGAAGCGTATCGTTACGCGCCATCAGTACACAGTAGAGCCCGGCCATGCTCGCTCCAGGATCTCCAAGTTGAAAGCCAAGGGCGTTACGGCCGACGACTTTCGCAGGACAGCTAAGAATGTCAACGATAACGAGTTTGCCATGGTATATTCGTCCTACCAGGAACACTTAGCCGCCTCAAATCTCCTCGACTATGACGACCTCCTCGTCCGCTGTGTGGATCTGTTAAGAAAATCACCATCTTGTGTCTCGACGATACAGGCTGTACTCATTGACGAGTATCAAGATACCAACAACATCCAGTATGAGTTGATGAGATTGTTATCTCAGAAAACAAGACGTATTACCATCGTCGGTGATCCGGACCAGAGCATATACAGCTTCCGATCAGCCGAGATCAAGAATTTGCTGCGGATGCGTACTGATTACCCAGAATCAGTTGTGATCAATTTGGAGAACAACTATCGATCTTCGGGATGCATCCTAAGCTCCGCTATGGCTGTCATAGAGCAGGATGAGAGTCGGCCACAGAAGTCGCTGATTGCTACCCACGGTGTCGGCGAGCAACCCACTCTTCGCCATCTTATATCGGCGAATGTGGAGGCAAAATGGATCGTTGAAGAGATACACCGGACCAAAACGCTTACAGCCGGGCTGTTGAGCTTCAATGACTACGCTATACTTGTGCGATCGTCTCCACTCACACTACAGATTGAGAGAGCGCTCGGACAAGCTGGAATTCCGTATCGCATGGTCGCTGGCACGAAATTCTTCGACCGTGCGGAAATCAAAATTATCTTGGACTACCTCCGTGTGATAAGCCAGCCTGAACACAACGATGCGGTAGCGCGTGTCATCAACGTACCTTCTCGGAAGGTCGGCGATACTACTGTCAAGGCCCTTCTCGAAGAAGCAGAGATCAGGAAAGTGACCTTGTGGAAGTTAGTGCTTGACGTGGCTCAAGGCAGGAGAAAGCCGGAAAGCAAAGTGTCCGCCCAGGCGCAGAAGGGTATTGAGCAGTTCGTCAATGTTATCATCACCTCTCGCGAGAAGCTTCTTCCTGCTAAAGGCGAAGACTGCAACCTACTAGGTCTTATATCGCACGTCACAACCAAGATTTCTTTCCAGTCCTATCTCAAGCAGGCGCACAAGGAGAACTGGCAAGATCGATGGGCCAACGTGGAGGAGCTGGTGAATCAGGCGACACAAATGGCTACAGCAGTCGCCAATGGAGAAGAGATCTCTGACGACGCCTTGCCAGCAGTAGAAGGCCTCGAACAGCGGCACGACACTGCAGCTGATATCTTGTCCAAGTTTCTAGCCAATGTCACCCTCTCGAGCGCGGCAGACCAGGAGGGCAGTGAACTAGACCAGGTCACCATCTCCACCATTCACGCAGCAAAGGGTCTTGAATGGCCTGTGGTCTTCATGCCTGCTGTTTACGACGGATCCATACCCCATTCCCGAGCGGACGATCACGACGAAGAACGGCGCTTGCTATATGTTGGCATGACTCGAGCACAAGGCTTACTGTACTTAAGTTGCCCAGTCAAACAGTCGGGCCAGGAGCAGACGACACTTTCGAGATTCATATCGGATCGGAAAATCCAAAAGCTTTTCAGCAATCGAGGGCCAGATCTTGCATTTAAGAGGAGTACCGTACCAGATTTAGCCCGCATCCTTCGCAGAGAATGCCCATCATCTGAAGATATGAAGACAGCTCTCTGCTTGTTGGAACGTCCAGAGGATGACCAGTATCCAACGACTCGGGAGGAGATCGACGGAGACGACCCAACATGGGCCGCATACGGTGGCAAAAACAACGGTGCTGGGCTAGACCAATCTTTCAAGCGGCGTAAGTTGGAATCGTCAAGCTCTCTGTCTAAAGACTCAGTAGCATCTACGATGAACCGAACGTCTGCTTTCTCGACAGCGACAACCACGATGCAGAGTGTAAAAGCTGGGTTCACTAGCGCACGAGATCTTGGAGACCTACAAGCAATGCAAAGAGAAGCAGAGCGGATTCGTACTCTAGCCAGTGTTCAATACGTCGAGGCTGGTAGAGAAGTCTACAAGGATGCGAAGAAGGCAGAAGCAAAGCCTGCGCGCGCAAAAGTTGTGAAGCCACGTGCAACTGGTC